TCCTGGTAATTAAACAGCAGCTGATGTAACATGGTAATGTCCTGATGAAAGAGATACTGTAAGACTACAAGCTATACCAGGAACAGAATTTTCTTAAAACGTGGTGAGTTAATTTTTAAATCACTTGTTCGGTCTAATAATTCTTCTTTCAATTTATGATTCAGAATAACGGACACTAAAATTTAACCTCGTTTGAAAAAGGAACATGTAGTTCTAAAATGATATTTGTATCTTTGTTCTAGAAATTCTTGTAGGCAATTGAAACCGATGGGGGGATTTCAACCAGTTTTGGTAGGTAGTAACGAAGTATTAAGAGGTTTATATGTAGAATTAAAATGTCACGTGATTGTTTAACTAGAATTGGGTTAACTGTATCGTAATTTGGAAGTCAAGTCATAAACATTCACAAAGTATTGACTGGTTTATCTCCAAGGTTTTTTTTGTTTTGTCTGTACGTGTACTACCCCAATATTATGGGATGCCCCGATCATTACGGGACAGATTTTATTTGTGTATTAACGTAGTGCCCCATTATTATCCGTGGCAGGAGAGATTTTATTTTTTTTAACGTAGTACCCCAAATATTATGAGAGATGTTATTTGTATTTAGAGGAATTGATAGGTTATATACCCTCGAAGAAGAAGTGTAATGCTCAGATTAGGAGCGAATGTGATGTTTTGTTTTGTGTCTTGTTCGAAACTTAGAGAGCTAAACCTTTGTTAATTCTGATAAATTCTCTTAAAAATATGTTATTTAAGATTGGTGAAATGTCTTCAGCTCATTGATTATCCTTTATCTCTAGGTAAATACAATATGACAAAATCTTATTTTGAATTATGCTTTTGTAAATTCTTATGTAAATATTGTATAATAGATTGTGATCTAAATTATGTTCCACTTGCTAATTTTATTATCCAATTAAGTTCAGCTCATAATATAAAAGTAGATAATAAAACTTGGGCACGGGTGGCATTATAATATTTTTCATAGCACATGTCATAAAAACACTGTCTGACCATACGGTATGGAAAGGGCACAGACTACCCGACAACATAATGGCGGCAATTAATGAAAAATCTTAAAGAAGAGGAAATGAAAGAAGATGAGGGAACAGATTTCTACTCCCCGCTACAAATAGCCACAACGGCGATGTAGTGAATGGAAGAAGAAATAACTCTCTACCCCTCCACAGAGGAAGAGAAATATGAAAGTAGGAGAAATACCTCGCATATCTTCATGACGTGTGTGAATTCTGTTGTGGAAAAGGTAAATGACTTTAATACCTCGCGTGTGTCAAATTGTGTTGTAAAAGAAAACAATAGTGACGGTGGGTGAAAAAGAAACAAAACGGGTATCGTGACAAGGAAAAAAACGTTTTGTATATATAAGTTTTCAATCAGTGTTTTGTTCTTTTTTCTTTTTACAGACTTTTGTTTATATGACTTTTAATCTATGTTTACCCTTTTCTAATTGTTGTTTATATTTTGATTATTGTTGTTATTGTCGAATCCATTTACATTTTATCCGTTAATGATTTTAAAAAGTTCATTTACAACTGGTAATGTATGGTGACTTCTAAAGAAAGCTAATCCGGTATTACGTAATAACCAGCTGTGTAATCGTTTAGACACTCCGTTAGCCGTGTTAGACACTCAACTGATATCTGTCCAACCCAAAACCTTAAAAACTGGATTAGATTTAGGAGTCCGCGCATGGGAAAGCCTAGTTAACTTTAAGGGGTCAGTTTTTGTTAAACCGGTGTTGTCATCAAGAACTAATAGTGTAAATTTTTAACTTAAATATAGTCATTTATAAATTTTCTATCGTTTTAATGTATCCAATAAATCAGTAAGAAACTATGTGCAAAACTGTTTCTCATAAACAGTGATTGAAAGTTAAATACCTTTTTAAGTCTGAGAATGCTTTGTGGACTTTTGCGGTCCAGTAATGAAGTCACCCGAAGTCACTATGTCTTTTGTGGACTTTTTTTATCTATAGTTACCTATGAATTCATTATGTATCGGGGAGGGTTGGGATGCAGGGGAGTGCAGCTTACTACACCCCCTTAGCGTTGTTGCAATCCGATGTTCGGGAAGACGGGAAGAATGAAAAAAATAAATAAAAATATTTTTTTGGAAAGAAAATATTGAAAAAAATATTTTTTTGGGAAAGAAAATATTGCTATACAGACAATAAATATATTTATACAACTAATTATACCAGGCAATATTTATTGTTTATATTTATACAACTAATTATATCAGACAATATTTATTGTTTATAGAGCCTGGTAAAGCTGGTGATCTGTCTACAAGTAATATATATGATACAACTAAAACAATGAATATAGAATTTACACCACCATCATCTGGAGAAGTAGATTATTATAGAGTACGTATATCAGAACAAGGATCAGTTGTAATCAGTAAGGATGTAACCATCTCTAGTATTACAGTTGTTCCCGGAACACTGTTACCTTGTAGATTGTATACTATTAATATCACAACCTATTATACTGGTAAAGCTGGAGAAGTTTCTATACAGCAATTCGTAACAAAGGCAACAGGTAAAGTAACCTTATAATGGTTTATCACCCAATAATACATTCTACAGTAGATATCGCTTGTGTGATATATTTCATAATCTACTGCGATATCTCCTTTACATGAATTTCATTGGTCAGTTGAAAAGGAACTACTTTTTTTATTTTCAAAGAACAGTTCATTTCTTATTTAAAGTAACTTTTTTTAAATTAAAAATGAACTATTGTTATTCAATTGACCTTGGTGGAAACACTGGGTCAATATAAAGGACTTTGCAATTGTTGAATTGCTGTCAAAAAATGATGTATCACAACGCCATAATGTTCAGTAAAAGTTAAATCTACAGCAAAGAATTATATTTATCTATTTGTGAAATTGTGCATGTAAGAAGGGATTGGGTGATAAATAAAATCTCCTACTCGTCTTTTTTGATTTTAAAAAATATCAACACTCGTTGATAAAGTAAAAAAAAAACTTGGCAGAGCCTCGTTTTTTGTTACTTTATCAACTTGTGTTGATATTTTTTGATATCAAAAAAGACTGGTAGGAGATTCTCTATTTAATACTGTAATGAAAGACATGAATCACCACATCTTGTATTGATTACTGTAACTATCTTATAGACAGTTCCTACAATTAATTGACATTTGAATTACTGCAGTTGAAGAACCATAATTAACAATATGAAATAAAATTAAATTGTCAGGTAACATTTAATATACTGAGCTTTTAATTGATGATACGAATGTTCAATGACTATTGATATTATATTTGAACAGAATCAACACCAGATGATAAATTGCCAGCCATTGTTGGTGGAGTTCTGGGTACAGCTTTAATGATCAGTATTTTAATTATCATTCTATAAGTGATATACAGGAACAGGTAAATGGCATTCTACTGGAATTATCATCTACAATAAATAACTAAAATATGTTTCTGAAAGATACATTATGTAAGGTTTCTGAAAGATACAATATTTAAGATTTCTGAAAGATACATTATGTAAGGTTTCTGAAAGATACAATATTTAAGATTTCTGAAAGATACATTATGTAAGGTTTCTGAAAGATACAATATGTAAGATTTCTGAAGTTATTTATATTATTATAAAAAAAAATACAGATATTGAACATGTCATTCAAATAACTTTATTCTTGGCGAAATTATCACTGTTTATAGTTTTGACAAGATGTGTCCATTGATTGTTTATTATCGTAACCACGGTATTTGGTATATTCGAGACTTAGCCTCGCTTCTACATTTTAATTTAAATCGTTAAATGGCCGTTCCGTTCTAATCTACTTCAAATCGGAGCCATCCGATGGCATAGTGAGTTGGTCTTGCTCTTACCATGTTAATACATGTCTAGTTAAGAATTTAGATAACATACAAGGCCTAAAGAGAGACCTGTAACAGGCAGATCTAGCTCTTATATAATGTATCTTTAAGGTTGAAGGAAAATGATTATAGCTGTGGCAATGCATATGTGCTTAACACCCCCCCCCCCCACACACACACACACACACGCACACGCCACATACACCCCACCTCGCTCTCTCTCGCTCTCTCTCTCTCTTTCTCCGATTTCCTCCCACTGCTAGGTCACGAAATGACCTAGTTTGTGTCGAGTGGACGCTAAACCCCATTTCTCTCTCTCTCTTTCTCTCTCTCTCTCTCTCTTCATAATGAATTCAGTATTTGTTAGATAACCGTTTTATTGCAGGTCCACCCGTCCCTCTTTCTTTCATGATAAATCCAGTATTTGTTAGATGTCCGTTTTATTGCGTTTCGGATGTGTTTGTAATTGCAGAAGATTGAAGACAGTAAATGGCGAGGATCCCTCTGAGCAGAACGACCAAGATTACGAACATCAATATGATTCAACCATTGGAGGTGGACCTGCATTTGTTTATGATACATTAAAGACAAGAGACCAAACTGGTTATTATAATATGGGGAACATCAACACCACTGGTACATAACATAATCCCGTCTTCATTAGCCTAGTCTGAGCAGAACATTACACTGTAACTCGGGTATCATTGAATCTTGTGTGTTTAGCACTAATTTCGTTCACATTCATTCAATATCAAATCTTTGTTTAAAAAGTTGTAAAAATCGTTTACAATAACCAAAATTCATCTGATTTGTACTTGTGTCCAGTTTAAAGCTGACCATTCAGTTTTGATAATGAATTTACAATTTACAATCGTTTAATTCCTCGATAAATTCATTATTGATGTATAATAATTAATTTTTGATCATTGTTCAGGAGATTAAATACTTGTAAATTGGAACTCATTATCAAAATTAATCATTTCATCTCACATAACATACTATCTAAGACAAGCTCCTTAAAACTGAAAACTAGCAGTAAAACAAGATAGCTGAACGTCTGTTCATTTTTTAAAAAATAAAAAGGATTCGAAGTAGCTAAGGGTTGTACTGCCAACTTAAAATTTAGGAGCTGAAACAAAATGTTTTAACAATATGTTATTATATTATATAGCAGGTGTGCGTCCATTACTTAAAAAGGATCCACTTGATCGAAATATATTTAAAAGCTTTCGCCCTGTTTTAAAGAAAGCTGTCAACATCAGACTACGTACATACATATCAAATAACAATCTTTGGGATAAATTTCACAACCAGTTTATCTTTCTGGACATAGTACAGAAACTACCGTTCTGAGAGTTGTAAACTATCTGAGAAGTTCAGTTGGCAGTGGCGAAGTATCAGTACTGACTCTATTGGACCGTTCGGCGACTTTGCTGATCAGCTCCAATATGAATTCAGTATCACTGGAGTGGCTCATAACTGGTTGATGCCATACTTACAAGATCGTCACCGCCTTACCTGCGGCGTTCCTCTAGGATCGGTACTTGGTCCAATACTTTTTCTGCTATACTGTCGTAATTTGGCGGGTATTATCGACAAGCCTGACGATACTCAGCTTATCTCATCTTTCAAGCCCGAGGCGGTTACCAAGGCTCTGACTGGTGTGAGTGATTATTCCCAGGATATTAAGAATTGGATGACCTCAAATAAACTCAAATTAAATGATTACAAAACTGAAGCTAAGTTATTTGGAAAATAAACGCCTTCAGAACATATCTTAAACAAATGTTAAAATTGGAGAGTCGGTTATTCAGTTAGCTAGTACTTTGAAGTATCTTGGTGTTTATCTAGATCCTTGTTTGTCATTTGAAACACAGGTTGATAAGCTGCGTCAGTCCTGTTACTTTCATTTGCGACGCATCAGTGATATTCGACATCTCATCACGATTAACACCGCCAAATCTCTAGTACATTCACTAGTTCTGTCCAGAATAGAGTATTGTAACAGTTTGTCGTCTGGGATTAATCAAACAAGTCTCAAAATACAGAAAATACAGAATACAGCAGCCAGAATCATTTCACGAACGAAAACATCATCTCACATAACACCTATTCTAAAATCCTTACATTGGCTCCCAATTCCAGCTCGCATCAACTTTAAGTTCCGTGCCTCACATACGAGTGTCTACGAAATCTTGCATCCAGCTATTTATCAGAACTACTAACACCATATCAACCAACTAGGTCCTTGCGATCTTATAACCAGAACACCCTTGTCGTTCTACAGTCAAAACTGAAACATTTTGGTGACAGAAGTTTTAGTGTAGTTGTATCCTAAATTGTGGAATGATTTACCACTGAAAATTCGAAACCATGAAACTTTGACTACTTTCAAATCACAGCTAAAGACTCACTTATTTCGGGAATGCTATGAGAATTAGACTTTCTGTTCACTGTGTATATAACTATTGTCTCATTGCGCTTTGGGCATGCTTTTGGATAGATTTAGCGCTCTACAAATATACATTATTATTAGTAATTATTATTATTATTATTATCCATGGTAACATAACATTACATGGTGAAGTCCGTGTTCTATTGTACCAATTTGTCATTTTGTATTTTAATTATTTAATCACTTTCAAACTGAACGCCCCTAATAATTACATGTACAGACTGTACAAGTGCAGTTTTTAATAAACGACTGTCTATATTTGTAACATGGGATTCTCTTTTTTCGTTCATGTTATATGAATCACTTATAAATAAAGCACTTCATTCAAAAGAGGTAGTTTTTGTTCCTATCGTCTCTTTTCATCTGTTTCTGTTTGTCAATTTGCTTCACTCCACTTTCTTGGTCATTTCTACATATAAACATTTTGTTTGGTCCGTTATTATATAAAATTGTGAAAAATATATTTCTATTGGTCAAGAGCCACAGGGCTATTGTAGTCCGCTCGACTGTCCTTCTTTTCTTCGACCTATTTGTCGGACACCAATCGGCGAGAAATCATAACTATGCGACTGACACCAACCTATAACAGTTAAAATTTTATGCTTTTTAGTCGATTGTCTTTTGCATGGAAAAATTCACTAGAAAAGAAAGGGGGATCGAATGCATCTCTACGATTTACAACACTTTGGTTTGAAGGCCCATTTTTCTAAAATCGTGAATCTTCCCCTGAAATTCACTTGAAGGAGAAAGATATCTTTATAATTGGAGTTGCTGAAATTCACCCTTGATTGTATCTAGTCTTCTAGGTTGGGAGGGGGGGGGGAATTATGCATTTAAATCGACATTTTCAAATTGTTAATAGTCATGTTTTATATTGTAGTATTAGACTAGGGTTTTTTATATTCATTTTACAGAAAATTTTAATTGTATATATTATGTGGGTTTTTTTACGTCATTTTGTTTTATATATATCTATACTCGTTTGTCTGGCTGTCTGTCTGTTCGGGGTTGGCGGCTACACTACGTCTGCCCCGAGTCTGAAATTTGGGGTATAGGGGAGTAACATAGGCCAGGTGGCGTTAGTCTACCTCTTCCGGTTTCGGGGTTATGACCCCCGAGCAAAGCCGGGCATTCTTCTAGTATATACATAAACATAATTTTTGTGATAATTATTTTTAATTAATATTTACTGTTGTGTTTTGTTTCAACGGCATTTAGTAATTGAACTGGAATATACATACCGTTATATTTGTTTTTTATTTATGTGCCTATATAACTGTTGTGATTATTTTTTAGTTTGTCTCATGTAAAACACAATACTCCCGTCAAAAGGCAACACCTAGTAACTCACTTTTTTATCAAAATTAAGTGCTTCCTGTTGTTGTACTAGATATTCCGATCTTTTCATTTTGTAAGCAGTTACACCCATGACACAACCTAGCAACTTCCTTCCTTCCTTGGCCTAGTATGCCACATAAAAACCTAGTAACTCAATAGTCAAATCGATAGATAAGCTGGAGTTTAATATTCATTCATTACGTTTTCCTTTGTTTTCTCAACATAAGAAAAACATGAGTTACTAGGTGTTGCCTTTTGACGGGAGAATATGTTTCGCGCAATATTACCTCGTTGGAGCTAACGTGTCATATAACTTCCTTTTATTTACTCATTTATTTTATTGTATTCTATCATACGAGTTCAACAGTAAAGACGTCGTCTTTTGCTGGCTCCCCAGTCACGTAGATATAAGGGGGAATGATCAAGCAGATTTTGCTGCCAAAGCTGCTTTAGATCTTCCCCAATCACCCTTTTTAATACCATATAAAGATTTTAATTCGTGTATAAATCATTTTATTTATGACCGCTGGCAACGGTCTTGGGATTTTGCAGGCACAAATAAACTTCATCACATTAAGCCTCTCCTAGGAGATTGGCCCAACTCCTATAGAACCAACAGGAGGGATGAAGTTGTTTTGTGTCGCTCTCGCATTGGTCATACTTTTTTAACTCATATTTTCATTTTGAAGCGAGAGCCTCAACCGGAATGTGTTCACTGTCATGTTCCTTTGACAGTGAAACACATCTTGATTGAGTGCAAACATCTCAAGAACATTAGATCTAAATATTACCGTTGCCAGTCAGTACGTCAGCTATTTGCTCAACCGGAGCTATATGACAAAGTGCTAACATTTTTAAAAGAGACAAACTTTTATAATCAATTTTAATTGTATATATTTAATCATGTATATCGTTCTAAATATTTATATATGTAAAAGATTTGTTATATTTATTTTTAATTAATATATTTTCTGTGATATTTGTTTTTATTTACATATATAAATTCATTTATGTGATATTGTTTTAATTTGTCTCAGATTCACCATATGTTTGGCGCAATATAGCCCGGTTGGAGCTGACGTGCCTTAAAACCATATTTCATTCATTCATTATTGTATTCTATTTCTGCTGTTGTTGTAAGTAACGTTTTGGTAATATTTTAAAAGTTATTATTAAATTTTGTTTCCTTAATCAAATGCTTAGTAACCAATTTTAAATACATTTAAGCGTGGGTACAACCACAAAAAAGTGATATTGTTCACTAGTGCCGTGTATTAACATGTATCAACTAGGTTTTATATCGCAGAAATAATAAATCGATAACGATAACATGCGACGAAATCAATTAATGTTGGAAATCAGCGGAAAATTATTAAAACTTACTGAACGGCTTCAATTACTAGTGTGGGCGAGGTCTCAAAACACAGTTCTCCTATTAATATACATGGCTATAATATCTATAATATGATTTATTGAGATGACAGTCAATTAAAGTAGCTAAGTCACCAACTCAATATCATCCAAAGTTTTGGACATTGAAAACACGAATATTTTGTCAATTTAAATCAACATTGATGTTGTGATCTTACCGGGAAAAGATGGACTTCTGATATCCAATATTTAAGACAAAATAAACATTTTACCATTGGTACCCGAATCGTGTACCATAATGCGTTTCAGCACCATTTGTAACAAGGGAGTCGAAGAACGAGGCTAGACATATTCCACAAGTCATATCAAACGGTGACGGCATATTCTTACCTGCAGTGCCAATAAATACTATTTCGCCGAACATAACTGATTTAAAATTAGAATAAACAGAAACGATTGAATGTAAATCAGTGTATATACATTCATATTAGATTATAATATACGTTGCGACCCATTTATGTCAATTTCTAGGTCCCAAATATTACCGAGTTAGCGCTCCTTTAAATATATCATCTATTGTTGGTCATCACATCAGCTTTGTCATGTACTTTCACAATTATTTATCATTAAATTGTTTACAATGAAAACAACCAATTTGTTATATGTTATAATCACATGGATAATCAGGGCTGGTAATCAGCAGTTTTCAGAAAATAGCCAGGGCCCTTATTCACGAAAACTTTAACTAAGATAAAATCGAAATTTTAAGAAATACTGCAATTCGATTGGCTGACCAGTAAAATCAATTTGCATATATCCAATGAAGTTGCAGTATTTCTTAAAATTTCGATTTTATCTTAGTTTAAGTTTTCGTGAGTAAGGGCCCTGTTTATTATGTACTAGCAGGGTACCCGGCATCGCCCGGGGCCCAAATTGACGACGCGATTCATGGCCTTAAACATCCACGGGGTCATGCTGGTAAATTTGATACCACATATCTGGGGGTGGATCGCGACGATGAAGCGTGACGAGAGAACACACACGCACCCGCACACTCATACACGGACATCTTTGATTTTATTTATATAGATTATAGTCACAGGGATAATCAGAAAATAACCAGAAATAATGAGACCCTCGTTATCTCAAGAAAGTAACCAGTTTATTATAACCAGAAATAATTAGACCCTCGTTATCACGAGAAAATAACCAGTTTATTATAACCAGAAATAATGAGACCCACGTTATCTCGAGAAAATAACCAGTTTATTATAACCAGAAATAATGAGACCCACGTTATCTCGAGAAAATAACCAGTTTATTATAACCAGAAATAATGAGACCCTCGTTATCTCTAGAAAATAACCAGTTTATTATAACCAGAAATAATGAGACCCTCGTTATCTCTAGAAAATAACCAGTTTATTATAACCAAAAATAATGAGACCCTCGTTATCTCTAGAAAATAACCAGTTTATTATAACCAGAAATAATGACACTTTCGTTATCTCGAGTACATAACCAGTTTATTATAACCAGAAATAATGAGACACCTGTTATCTCGAGAAAATAACCAGTTCATTATAACCAGAAATAATGAGACACCTGTTATCTCGAGAAGATAACCAGTTTATTATAACCAGAAATAATGAGACCCTCGTTATCTCGAGTACATAACCAGTTTATTATAACCAGAAATAATGAGACCCCTGTTATCTCGAGAAAATAACCAGTTTATTATAACCAGAAATAATGAGACCCTCGTTATCTCGAGTAAGTAACCAGTTTATTATAGTCACAGAGATAAATAACCAGATTATTATAACCCGAAATAATGACACCCTCATCTCAAGTAAATAACCAGTTTATTATAACCAGAAATAAATAATCAGACCCTCATTATCGCGAGTAAATAACCAGTCTATTATAGTCACAGAGATAATTAGACCCTCGTTATCTCGAGTAAATAACCAGTTTATTATAACCAGAAATAATGACATCCTCGTTATCTCGAGAAAATAACCAGTTTAATATAGTCATAGTAATAATCAGACAATTACCAGAAATAATCAGACCATCTTTATCCCCAGAAAATAATCTGTTTATTATAGTCACATGGATAATTAGACCCTTCTAATCTCAGTTGTCAGAGTGTAAATCTCAACTAAAACTGGAAAAATCTCTTCTCTTTATCATGGCCGGTTCGAAGAGGGGCAGGACAATGGTCTAACGTGCGCTTTAGATCGAAATGTCTGTCAGAGTGTCAATTGTATGGTTTAGAATCCCTGGCATGTAGTTGACAAGGTGTAGAGTCGCTTGGCTACCCTTGTGTGGTTTGCCTTGACAATACTAAAGATTCGGATAAAGTTGATAATTGTAATAAGAATGTGGTCTGTCTGTCAATTACCTATTTGTGGTGATGTACAATAACTCATCCGGAGTGATTTTCCTTGTGGATGGTGCCGGGTAGATTGCATGGCACGAACGGCATTTATTTGTTCAGGCATTTAATATCAACATATAATATTAATGTCCCGATGTGATAGACCAGTGATTCTCAACCAGTGTGCCACGACACACAGGTGTACCGCGACATCTTCCTAAGTATGCCCCGAAGTTTTGAACGGCACACTGAGAAAATTTCTCACTGAAGAAGCCAGCTATTTGATTGATGAAATTTGAAACACTGCAATAAAGTAAGTTCATATCTGTGTTTTTCTTTATTTAGTCTGAGTCATTTTATATGTCTACGACTAGCCTGTGTCTACGGTTGTATGCCGTCTATGACCTGTAATGTTTTTCTTTTGCAACATTCAAATATTTTTCATATATTTTAGCCAGGTGTGCCGCTTTTGTATGTGTTCCAAGGTGTGACGTTGGCAAAAAAAGGTTGAGAACCACTGTGATAAACGAATCTTTAATAGGAATCGCAGTCCAAAGTGGTCCAAGCCCGCTTGGTATTTACAAAGATAAAAATGTGGAATTAAAATTTCATCGATCTATACTGCTTCTACCGGCCGTCATCGGTATCCCCAGTGGTCGTATTCCGTTCTACTCCACTAACCCCTGAGTTAATCTACAGGAGGGACACGTTTTCAAGTTATCTGCCCTTAATGGTTGTGCTATTTTTATCGACCAATCCCATATATAGTTAATTGCAAAGGACATTAGCAAGGGGTAGTAACTCTCATCGGGTAAAGTAAGCCAAACGCAAAGGCTCCCCTTAGAGAGACAAGGTTAGGAATTAGCCAGAAGGTAGCCTGAATGAGAGAAGTCCAAATTATACTCTATGCGTATTTATTAACAACAAATTACAATTATTATGAATGTTAATGAAGACCGGACGTGTATATATTAGATTCAAGAGTTTTATTGAGAATCCAATTGCCAAGTATAAGTTCAATAATAATACCGATAGCAGAATGAAACATTTCAGACAAAGCACGAATAGTAATAATAATGACAAAAGTCAAACATATAAATATTATACATATTTGAAATAAGCGAAACATACTACAGATTTTGATAATACAATAAAATATAAATGAATAAGAAATATATACATTATTTACATAAATCATTCAGTAAATGGACATGAATATGGTTAACTACCCTTATAAAAACGAACGCGAAACGAGTGGTTTGTAAACTGTTTTTTGATTGGTTCGTAGACTTTAGCTACAATCAAGGATTGGGCAGATAATTTGAAATCGTGGAAACCCTATGGATTAACCTAGGGTATAGTGGAGTAGAATGGAATGAGTACACCGGGGATACCGAGGATGCCATTTACTGGTACTCTGAGAAAGTCACGTGTTTGATCAAATGTTTTCATGGGTTATATTTCACAGATCAGACATTTGTTATCTATCTGATTAAAGCACATATCTATATTTCGTTTCGTTTTTTTATACTTTCGATGACCTACACTATAAGAAGATCTGACCAGTTGTACCGGAAGGTCGCACGAGCGGCTTTTGACCTATGACGTCAAACATTGATTAATCAATCAGCGTTGACGTTTCTAGTGGTTTACCCACAGTTCCGTGCATGGCACACCAAGAAGTCGCCGTTACAGATGGTGTCATTAACTAAACCCTCTCGCCATCCAGAACGCCTGTTAAATAATAACTACTATTGTAGTACAGAAAAAATAAACGAAATTTTGAACTATAAAAAACGAAACGAAATAGTATCTGTGTTTTAATCAGATTGGTTTGTGTTATCAGTTTAGTAAACTGTGTCTTTGTTTTATTTTGTTGTATTTTAATACATAGCTAATTTGCGTTTGAAATTCATTAAATAACATTTTCATTTAACCAAGAACATGCAAGGAAAAAATAATCACGGACAACAAATTTCCCAAACAAATCTACAAATATAAATCTTGCAAAACAATTTTCAAAAACATTTACATTTCATCCGGAACATACAACGAAAAACAAATCACGAACAAGAAATTTCCATATACAAATCTTGCAAAACCATTTTCAAAAAAACATTTCTCCAAATTCATTTTACCTGAATAGGTAACCACCCAAGAGAGAGAGAGAGAGAGAGAGAAAGAGAGAGAGAAATGGGGTTTAACGTCCACTCGACACAAACTAGGTCATTTCGGGACTAACATATGGTTTTAATTTTATTTCAATAATTCGCCTGCGCGTAGGGGTCTTTAGCAGTGGGAGGAAACCGGAGGACCCGGAGAAAACCCACGAGGTTGGACAGGCGACCCTACTCCTTGCCACGTACATCGGGGATTCGAAACCACGCCAGTCAACTCAATGACAGACTTTATGATACAGCGCACGCACGCTAACCATTCAGCCATCCAACCCCCCAACCACCCAAAAGGAATCGAATTGAATTTTTTTTTCAGTGTCATCCGAGCTAATGAGAACAGTATCAAATACACAGACAGAGAGAAATGGGGTTTAACGTCAATTCGACACAAACTAGGTCATTTTGGGACGAACATGGTTCAATTTTATTTCAATAATTCGCCTGCGCGTAGGGCACTTTAGAAGTGGGAGGAAATACGGGTCCCGGAGAAAACCAGTGAGGTTGGACAGACGACCCTACTCCTTGTCACGTACAACCGGGAAATCGAAACCACGCCAGTTGAGATATTAAATATCAGTTCAAGGTTAACGACGTTTGCTAACACCGTGTGTCAATATATTTTAATTGCATAAATTGTATCCTTAAAAATAATTTAAGTTATATTTCTGGCAAGGTTGATATCCATTCAGGCACACCGCTAGTGGGCGATGGTTGTCATCAATATGCTTTTCAATATTTGACTTTTTTAAAATTAACTGGTTCATAAGAAATATTTATGTACCCGCGTTTATATTAAATCGTGTTTTACGGTCATAGCATTTGTTCCGGTGTTTGGTGCAAAGGGCACGAACACAGAGCCAGGCACATATCACAGGGCTTCTTGTGTTCCACGGTCATAGCATTTGTTCCGTATGATACAGCGCGGTGTTTGATGCAAAGGGCACGACCACAAAGCCAGGCGCAGGGCTTCTTGTAGATATATAATTTCAAGGTTAAGATAACCATATTTGGACATTAATAGGAACAGAATTCTGTAAATCATAGGTCCAGAACACTTCATAATCGGTTGTTTTTAACGAATCACTGGGCTTCAATAGTTCTCCATTAGGATTGCAAGGTGCGCAGTCATTATACCACCACCCACTTCTCATGTCTAAAGCACAGTTTCTGCTACTGTTGTCGTTGTCGTTATCATAAGTGCTAAAATATTGATTCTTTACCGCCGTTAAACTATCACCTAATGGTGTAATAGTATGGGGGACTGCAAGGGCAAAGGTCATTTGATAGTTGTTGGTTTCATTCATCACTACGAATTCCCTATAATAATGTTGATAGAAAGACGAATTGGCAAGCTTCATGTAGAATATGGCGGTAAAAACATGACTATTGGTCAGATAGTAGAGTTTGTCCAAACCCAACCAATGATCACTTGACAGAGAACCAAAACCATCTTTGTATTCCTGCCATGTTCGGTTGAAGTAGAAGGACGACACTTTATGTCGCTGAAAAATAGTTCGACCACCGCCCACCATCTGACAGTACACTTGGAATGGTGCTGGGGATAGTATGGGTTGTATTGTGTAGACACCGTGAGTTGTATAACCATGTGGTGAAGAACACCCCTCTGAACAATCTGTAATAAAAAAAATCCGACAATGGTTAAAGAGAGAGAGAGAGAGAGAGAGAGAGAGAGTTTAGGACTGCACATCTGTGACAGAACACAATGTAAATAGGCCCCCTACTAACGCCGCCTAAACACCGAGTAATCCCAATTATAACGCCCTACGAGGGGCGCGTGGATGGCCGAATGGTTAGCGCGCGCGTTGCATCATAAGGTCTGTCATTGAGTCAACTGGCGTGGTTTCGATTCCCCAGTTATACGTGACAAAGGGTAAGGTCGCCTCTCCAAACTCGTGGTTTTTCCCCGAGCCCGTTTATTAGTCCCGAAATGACCTAGTTTGCGTCGAGTGAACGTTAAATGGCAATTGTTGTCCGGGCTAAATTTCCCTCATAGCACACTGTATGGCCTATGTCCGTCAACTTTAGCCCAGTTCGAGCAGAACAGTAGGACATTAAACCCCATTTCATTCATTCATCCATAAAAACAATACAAACCTCGCATGAATCTTTCACAATATGTTCCAACATAACTGTTAACACACAAACAAAACGAAGCACCCATCGAACCACCATTCTGACACAAATTCTGAAATTTAAGTGTATAAAAATCATTCATAGTTGGCATAGAAATTAGAATTTATCGACCAGAAAATTTTAATCAAATCTAGGAAAATCGATTTAAGACTGACGGTCTTAAAAATTATACCCAAAACCAGTGGCGGATTCCTAGGATGCTCTTAGAAAATTATATAAACGTCCGAGAAAAGGATATTTTAAAAAAATATATATTCAGCTACATTAATTTCACTAATTAACTTATGTGTGCCAAGTCCCCTAAGGGTCGTAATCCAACATTGCGGTTGGATGGCCGAATTGTTAGCGAGTGTGCGCTGCACTACAGGGTCTGTCATTGAGTCAACTGGCGTGGTTTCGATTCTCCGGTTGTAGGGTCGCCCGTCCAACCTCCTGGGTTTTCTCTGGGTCCCCCGGTTTCCTGCCACTGCTAAAGACCCGTACGCGCAAGCGAATTATTGAAATAAAATTGAACCATATGTTAGTCCCGAAATGACCTAGTTTCTGTCGAGTGGACATTAATCTCTCTGTCTCAATCTGGCATTGTCGAAAGCCTCAATTCTACAAAAATGAAAATAAAATGTCATCAGACTAAATGGATGATAAGTATAAAGCTTTTAGGTGCGATCGATGAACTCCGATTGATTATTTAACAGTTGATAAAGAAAACACCAATACGTTAGATAATCTATCGGGTTGATTTCAAGAGACGAATCAAAATACTTCATCCAACACTCGACTTTCTCAGAGTACTGATTCGGTGTCTTAGAGAGAGAGAGAGAGAAATGGAGAGAGAGAGAGAGGGTTTAACGTCCACTCGACACAAACTAGGTCATTTCGGGACTAAAATATGGTTTAATTTTATTTCAAAAATTCGCTTGCGCATAGGGGTCTTTAGCAGTGGGAGGAAACTGGAGGACCCGGAGAAAACCCAAGAGGTTGGAAAGGCGACCCTTCTCCTTGTCACGTACAACCGGGGATTCGAAACCACGCCAGTCGACAGAGAGAGGTGGAGTTTTGGACCTAACACATGGTTCAATTTTATTTCAATAATTCGCTTGAGCGTAGGGGTCTTTAGCAGAGAGAGATGGGGTTTCGAGGCTAACACATGGTTCCGTTTTATTTCAATAATTCTCTTGAGCGTAGGGGTGTTTAGCTGTGGGAGGAAACCGGAAGGCCGGAAAAAACCCACGAGGTTGGACAGGCGACCTACTCCTTGTCACGTACAACCGAGGAATCGAAACCACGCCAGTTGACTCAATGACAGACCTTATGATACAGCGCGCAGGTGCTAACCATTCGGTCACCCAACCCTCCTCGGTGTCCTTTAATGGCAAACAAAACCCCTCAACTATACGAATACTACCGGTATACAAACTGTTGTTTTTTTTAAAAAAAAAAGAAAAGAAGAACTAAATAAGCATTGACACGCAGACTAATCTATACTTTCCCATACATTGATGATGTAAATGGTGCGTTAGTAATTAATTATGGATTCTTTCACCGGTCTTCACGTGGGTACGAATCACATATCTACATAGCATTAAATGACAAGTCTAGAAACACTCAGCAGAACATACTCCTTTCTCATTTCTAATGCATCAATGATATCGGGGCCGTGGACATCTAAAGTAGATTGGGGAATGGGTTGTACAGAGATGACCGAAGACTCCCGAGACCAATTGCCCCGATGTTGTTGTTGTTATTGTTGTTTAATACAGATTTAATGTCCAATACAATAAATATGATATTATGGACAGGTTGATTTAATTAAATTATTTACACTTGAAAATAGTAAAAAACACAAAATAAAAAAGTCCTCGGATATCAAAAGTTCCTTAAAACACACTTATAAATTCGCTGTCGTGAGAAAAGAGGTCGGGTCATCTTCTCCCTTTGTCATAATAAAGTTAAAACAGGAGGTCCAGCTGACTGATGTTTGGTGTCATCAGAGCGGATAGAAAAAAACCCCGTGGGGAAAAAGAACCCGCTGGCTTTATGCGGAAAAGCGAAGTGCTCGCAGTAAAAACCAAATAGATTATTTGCATATTAAAAGTGTTCATCCAATTGACCCGATACACTAATGTCCATCTAGAACAGTGATTCTCAACCAGTGTGCGCGGCACATAGGTGTGCCAGGAGATCTTCCTAAGTGTGCCGCGAAATTTTGAACAGCACACTAATAAAATGCGAAAAACCATGTGATCAAAAATGAGTATTCACTGGTGTCTACTGGTAACTTCATAGCTGTGGGGTTTTTTTTAAAATTTAGTTTGAGTCACTCTATGTGTCCATGACTAGTCTCTGTCTACGGATCTATGCCGTATATGACTTGCCATGTTTTTATTTTGCAAAATCCAAATGTATTTCATAAATATTTAAAGATACATTATGGGAGATTTTTATAGAGAGTTAGCCATTCTTGCTATAGCAGTTCAAAAGTAGATGGTGAAAGAAGAATATATTGAAAATTTCAGTCAAATTACTTTATTCTGAACATAGTTATCATCGTTGTAATATTTGACTAGAAATGGTAGTGAAATGTGCCGATCGTTTGATTGACAGGCGTTAACTCCACCTACATATCTCGATTATCAAGTAAAGTTTTCAATGGCATGCGGAAACGCTCTACAGCGGCCTCGCTAAGTACACTCTATCATTTAGCCTCGATCTAACTGACGTATTCTCATCAGGGTGCGCCATATTTGAATTTATCAATGAGTGAAATCCTATTTAAATCCGAGCTGTAGCCGAGCCATCCCTGGGTCTACAGAGTTGATTTGGGGCTTGCTGTTTAAATAAAGATCTAATTTATAATTTCTATAACATCTGAAGCCTAAATTAAGACTTGCAATAATCAGATTTTGCTCTTGCATAATGTATGTTTAACCAGGTGTGCCGCTATTTTTTCATGTATTCCAAGGTGTGCCGTTGGCGAACAAAAAGGTTGAGAACCAACTGCTCTAGTACTACAATGATAACAATATTATCATCACACTGCCTAACAGTTGACCGATGAACGTTCTCCGTCAACACCTGGATTAAACACGGGACCTCCAGGTTATCAAGCCACCGAGCAACCACGGTTCCCATTTATTTAATACGTTTTGTTCTCCTGCAATTAGGTTATCTTGCATTCACTACTAACAAAATAAAACTCTTTAAAGGCTAACTTTGATTATATTGAACTGTCTTTTGTTAACAGAAAGTAAATGTCGATAAATATAATGTGTCAATTAAAACTACATCCGTCCTTCCCAATAAATGAACTTTGGTTAACTAGTACCTACTTACGTTCGGTGCACAAAATCGAAGTAAACTCCCAATGAAACGTCTAACACGTGATCAAAAATCATTCAAATCGATTAATCCGATCTTAATTAGTTTTCCATTTGAAGCTTGCGTTAGTTTCTACGAATTCTCGTGACCGTGACCTGGTTTATGTGCCATAATGGGGACAGTCCGATAATTCACAGGACATCGTAAAACAAGTAAGGGCTGACTCTAGGCCAGGAACAAAGCAAGGCGTCATTGGCGCCATCTTGGAATTATGAAGTCTTTCTGTCGATGTGCAATTGTCCAATGAACAAGCATGCCAAGTTTCACGTGGGTGGTACTCGAATGGGTGGAACACGAAAGGCCCCAAGAAGAAGAAGAGCAACCAGATGAGTAGCAACTAGGGACCTGCAGTAAGGAAGCAACCTGTTGAGCTTATTTTAGGAAAACTATTGAGCCTTTTGGAAAAGACAGCTATAGAAATGAAATAGGGTTTACCGTCCAACTGTTCTTCTCCTAACCTGGGCTAATGAAGACGGGCATACGCCATGCTATGAAGGCAATTTTGCGCGGACAGCGGCACTACGACCTCCTCTTATATCGAATTCAAACTGTCAAGGGATCTTTTACATGCACACCAATTTGTACACGGGACTTCGGTTTTTGGTACCGTCCGAACGACTAGACAGCTGTCCTTGGCAGGTCCTCCGTCCTGCATCAATGACAAGGGGGAACCACGCCGGATAATCTGGATGAACTTTCTCGGCCAACACCCGACCTCCAGGCTAGCAAGCGAGCGTCTTACCCACTTAGCCACCGTGACCTCCCGACAGCTATAGATTTGTGCGGAACATAGAACGAAAGTGCTATCGATAAGTAGTCCTACTGTTTTGCAATATTTCCGAAATATTGACGAATCGATCAACATATTATCGGGCTGATAATCGAATAATCGAATGTAAGTCAATATAGAAAAACAATTATTGTAGGAAGTTGATGATAAAAATGTTTCTCTGATCCAATACAAATATGTTCAACATTTTCTAAAAATATCAATATCACA